CTAAGAGTTAAGCCGCGTCCGAGTCGTGGTAGAGAGCCTTCAGTTTGACAAGTACAGGGATTGAAGCGTCAATCGTAGAAGTTGCCTGAAGTCGAGAATCCTTAACCCTCTTTGAGCAGTTTTTCTCTCCTCTTCTTGTTAAACCAAATGTCTTTTTCTGAGCGATATGTCCTATCTCCTCGAATCCCGTTCTTGTTTTCTTCTTGATTCGACTCTGTTCAAGGTTGCAACCTCATCTTTCCTAAGTTGTGACTTTGAAAATCTTGATTCCCTTTCTAATCAACGTTATCCTTGAGCTTAAACCGGATACCCTTCGACGGTTTTGGTGTTGAACTTCATTGTGACCAAGCCTATCAATCTTACTACCGTACATTAAACCCTTGTTTTCTCTAACCTTGATTACTGGCGAACACCTCTGTTGCTTAAAACCTCGTTTGCAACCCATCTCTTAAGCTTTGTCATTCGTTTCGCAAGCCGACCGTTTTCGTTGTGGAACCTTGTTGCGTCCCTTGCTTGTTTTGTTAGTAGGTTCGTTGGTAGTTGTTTGCTCAGATGTGCATTTTGTCGTTCTCTCTTGTTTGCCGTGGTTGTTAGCTTGTGGTTTGAGTAGTTGGTTTAGTTGCTTCGCTTTTATGAAGACGCCGTCCGTCGCAGTTAACCAGAGGTTGGACCAGCTTGAGGTCAGTTCTAGCCGAGGAAGAGTCGACGAAGAGTCTGATGAAGACACCGAGGAGTCGGAGAGCGAGTCCTTCTAGGGTGGAGTTGTAGCAATCTCGTCTCCCTTCCTTCGCTTGTTGCTACCTTTATGTTGTTGATGTTGCCGCTTGCTAGTTGTTTTGTTGTTATCTTGTGTGGTATTCCTTGTTGGCTAGTTGGGTTGAGTAGTTAGCTTTATGGGTTGTTTTACTAGGAGCTAGTTGTTTAGATCTTGAGTGTTGATTAGAAGTTTGGTGGTTGTGGCTGGTTTAGAGTTTGTTATGCTCATTATCTTCGTTGGTTATATCCTTCAATCCTTGCAATGATACCGCTTCTTACTTGTTTTTTATGTCTTTTGAATCCTTTGAGTTTTGATCAAAAGAGGATATTCTTGACACTCTTGTCACATTGTTGTTCCATTTCATCGTTTGTTTTAACTCGTCGTACCCAAGCTTCGGGGATGAAGCTTCTTTGAAGGGGGAGAGGATGTGACACCCCGTAATCCAAATTCGATTAAGGGATTAATTAAATAATTAATCCTAATTCAATTGGTAATTTAATTACTTAAATTCCTAAAAATTCAATAGTCGGGGACTAGTAATTGACTAGTCAACCCAAAGTCAAATGTTGTACCTAAAGCTTTGTGAGTAGTTCCCTTTTTCCCTTACACATTTCATCTTAGTAAGGGTAAAAAAGACATTTCCTTGGCAATAGTCTTTCAAGCTAACCTAGGAAGACACATTTCATTTCTTCAAACACTCTCCAAGAGAAAAATCATAAGCTCTCTCTCTTCTCTCTAAAAGCTAGTTAGCTTTCTCTCCAAGCCACACCTAGGGCTACCAAGATCTTTCAGGTTTGCTTTCAAGATTCTACCTTTCATACTTTTGAGCATCTAGGAGGGTAAGATCTAAGTTCCTCTTGTGTTTTTAGTGTTTTCTAAGGTATCTTTTTATAAAGGTGAAATCTTTATGTTGTTTTGGTGTGTTCTTGAAGTGGGTGTGGAAAAGGAACCTCGTGGAGTGTTGTGAATGAAGGATAAGTCTTCAAGAGGTAACCCATGCTCTACAAAATCTATTTTGCTTACCTATATGATGATTTCTTGGATTCTACATGTGTTTTGCTATGAAATGTGAGTGTTAATGCATTGTCTTGTGAAAATACATATCTAGAGCTTGTTATTATGGTTCTTGTATGCCATTGCTTGGTTATTCCTTTGATTCAAGTCATTTTGTTGTATATGGTGAGATTTGACATGTTTTGGACTTGAATTTGAGCTTGGTGTTGAAAATCCCCGAAGGGATTATTTTGGTGTAAAGGAGTGTACCCGCGGGCGGAACGGCGGGTAGGCGTTCACCCGCCGCCCCACCCGCGGGGTACAGGTGGCTTGTGGGTGTGTACCCGCGGGCGGAACCACGGGTGGGTGTCTACCCGTGGGTCCACCCGCGGGGAACGTGATGTGGTTGTTGGGGGATTTGTTCCCCGTGATTCTTTTGACTCGGTATTTGGTCTTTTGACTTCCCGATGTTCTTTTGTGGAACTATTTGAGCGTCTTCTTGATGTTTCGTATGTCTAGAACTATATGGTAGGGATCCATGTAGGTTTTGGTGTCGTGATTCATGCTAAGTGTTCAACATTGTGATTCGTTGAACCGTGATGAGTCTTGTGTGTTCTTCGGAACTTCTTTCGGTTTACCCTTTTGATAAGCATGCTAGTTCGGTGTTTAAATGCTAGCATGTGTGTTGTTTGTACTTTCCTATTGCTGATGATGACTTGTGTTAATCATCGTTGTTGTTGGACTGTGATCCATTCCTTGATTGAGTATGGTTTCATATCTTCGTTGTGATCCGTTGATTGATTCCTATTGTGGTGTGGTGTGGGTGGCTGTACCTGGATTGCACGATTAGTGGTATGGGACACTAGTCACCAAGGTACGGCAGTGGTCCTCGTGGTGGCCATGACGCAATTATGGAGTTTGTGACCTTTGTGTAAGGTTCACGTATTTCTTGGGAGGCATGTGTTGCCGTGTGTGTTCGGTACCCTCGTGTACTATGAAATCGGTGGTTCTGTTGGAGACCTGTTGGAGAGGGGACGACGGTCCTCGGAGGGATAAGGTTAGACTTGGGGTACAGGGGTCCTGGAGGTAAAGGTTGGAACTAGATATAAGGTTGGGGCTAGCCATAAGGTTGGAACTGGGCATAAGGAAGGCATATCAATTCGTGATGGGTGATGTCACGAAGGCCTGTGTAGCCGTTGTTGTGTATTTCTTTATTTGCGACGTGTGATGTCACAAAGGCATGTGTTGCCAATGGTTGTGTCTTTACTCTCTCTTGTGTTATGCATGTCGGGTGTTAATCGACTGTGTGATGGTAGATTATGCCTTGAGTCGTTCTTTTGTGTCGTTGTACTTCTTGTGGTCTTGGGATGTGTTCCCGAATGCTTGTGGTGAGTGCATAGAGCCTTGTGTTGATTTCTGCTCTTGGTTTTGAACATATATATATATATATATATATATATATATATATATATATATATATATATATATATATATATATATATATATATATATATATATATATATATGGGTATTCAAATGAGGACAAGTATATTATAGAGGACTGTGAGGACAGATTTAGTGTGTGTCATTAGCCGGTATGTCGTGTGCATGGCCGAATGTAGTCGTGTGCCACAATTTGTATGCCGCGTGCTAGATTTGTTAATTTATAGAACCTGGGTTCGAAACCTGATGGTTACATTTATTCTTGTGTGCCATTATGTATTAAGTTGTGTGCCTGGTATTAATTTGTTGTGTGCCCATTATTTGTCCTCACAGTCCTCTATATATTGTTGTCCTCATTTGAACTCAACCCTATATATATATATATATATATATATATATATATATATATATATATATATATATATATAGTGAAAGGTTCCCGTGCGGTGAATGCTTCCCGTGCGAATGTGCGGTGGATTAATATGCGTGAGATTCGTACTCAATGTGCGTGAGTGTTGTGCTTAATGTGTCTGAGATTTGTACTTAATGTGCGTGAATGTGTAAAATGCAGCAGAAAATATTGATGTCAGCTTCTTTCCCATCCCTAGTAGCCATTTGCCCCCTCCCTGATGATGATGATGCAGAGGCGAGCTATGGTTGTTAAAAATTATGGGAATAATATAACAGAAATCCACACTTAGCTGCTGTGCAAATTTTACTGTGCGTGTGTCATTTATATAAACATTCAATTGCGCTGAAGGTAGCTGATAATCCAAAATACATGGCCAAATTGAAGGAAGGAGTAACAAGAAGCTTGGGCGTTAATGTGCGTGAGTTTCTGTTCTGCTTCCTTCTGAGCTCGTAATTCTGAAATACGCACGCACATTAAGCACAAATCTCACGCACATTAAACACAATACTCAGGCACATTAAGTACAAAACTCACGCATATTAACATGACGCACATTAAGTACAAATCTCAGGTACATTGAGTACAAATCTCATGCACATTAAGTATAAACCTCACGCACATTAATCCACCACACATCCGCACGGGAAGCAACAAACACCTGATCCCTTCCTCTATATATATATATATATATATATATATATATATATATATATAACTCTATAATAAAGCAAGAAGTTTTTGCCAAAACCTTTTCCTGCCCAATGAAAACGACACTGTAACACCCCTAAATTTCAAGATATTTAAAACCTATAAAATAAAAGCTAATCTCTTACTAATTCCCGACTTCTGTGTCTAGTTTATGCTCTGTTTGGGAATTAGTAAGAGATTAGCCTTTATTTTATAGGTTTTAAATATCTTGAAATTTAGGGGGTGTTACAGACACAGTTTTGTTAATATCAGATCAATGGTTGTTATTCAATGCCGTGTATAATTAAATTTCTCATTGTGATTCCGATTAGCCGATTTAAAAGTCAAAACTCTTCGTATTCTATACTAGATCAGATATAGTCAGACTACAGTACTGAGTAATAAGAAGTTCATTAACTGTAGAACTCTTGGTATTCTAAACGACATCATCATCATCAGATAATAAAAACATCAGTAAAGAGAGAATAGTTTTTTAAAAAAATTTAAACAGACAATACATGATATGAATTCTGCATTTACAACATTTTAATTTAATTTAATAATGAAATTTTGATTTCTCATATAGTGGCTGCTATTCATCAAGCTTTAAATCTTCGATCTCTATAAAAGGTAACTTCCGGCTGCCAAGCTTCCTTCCACAAATCATACTACTATCCTTGCCTTTCAAATCTCTTTTGCTTCAAGAACATGCCTTCAATGTTTATTGCTGTGAAAAATATAAAACCTGAACACCAACAAAGGGCAATCAGTGTTAGAGCTGTCCGGGTATATGAAGTTCCTAAGGTAAGGGGAGATGGACAGACAAGCAAGAGTATGGAAGTTTTGTTGCACAATGAAGAGGTACTCCTTTTTTTTTTAATGCCTAATATTTCTGCTATCTACCAAAATAATCTTATTTCAAATCCTACTCATTTCTGTGTTTGTTATTGTCAGGGAGAGTACATCCATGACATGATCCAAAAAAAAAGATGTGATCAAATATAGAGAAATACTAAAAGAGGGGAAACTGTTTGAAATTAAGAATTTTATGGCTGCCACAAATTACTACCTGTACAAGATTACACAACACCAGTATATGATAAAATTCAACTATAAAACACAAGTGAAGGAGATAAATTCTATAGGCTTTCCTTTGAAAATGTTTCGGTTGAAGAGTTTCCTTTCTTTAAAAGACCCTGCTGAAGTTAATGAAAAGGAACTGATTGGTACTATCTCTAAATTTTCTAATAGTTTTTATTTCTCACTAAACTGTACTGCTAACATCTTAGTCTATTTATTTCTAACTTTGTAGATGTTATCGGTCGTGTGGTTGAGATCTATAATCCTGTGGATAAGATTATATTTGGAAAGCCAACACGGCTTTTGACTTTCAAATTGCTGACAATGTGTAAGTTTTAACATAATTTACTTTGGTTCAATTACCTCAATTGGTGTATTTAGTTTTTAATGTTCTGATTTTATCACAGTGATAACACTCTAACCTGCACACTGTGGAATGAGCATGTATCTTCTATACTACCTTACTACAATAGTGATTCAAAGGAACCACTCATTGTAGTCATTCAATGCTGTCGGGCTAAGGTGGTTAGTGGTGAGTTTCTCTAAACTGTTTACTTTAATGTATATTACTGTGTTCATTTACCTATTATATCTATGCCTTTTTTTTTTAAGGTGAGGTGAGGATCACCAGCTCCTACGATGCTACAAAGCTTTGGTTCAATGAGTCTTTCCCTGAATTCCTATAGTTCAAGTCAAAGTAAGTAATCCTAATTTAATAAACCTAGAATGAATTAGTCAAATAAAAACTGCACTAATATGCTGTCCACTTGAATAATTTTTTGAAGGTTAAGATCAGAAAATACTCCCATGAGAAGTCTTAGTACTGGCACTCTTCACTCAAACTCAATGGGCATTAGTGATTTTAAAAATTCTTCTGTGATTGTTACTACCTGCTATGATCTTAATAAGATTCAAGAGGTTAAGTATCTGTTCATAATTAAATTACATCTTACTGAATCTATTTGTTTTAAACCTTAATCTATTTGTATACTGGATGGGGAGTATTATGTTGCTGCAGAGATTTTGGGTATAGATCTTGATGATGATTGGTACTACATATCATGCATGTCACCAGGTTGTAATAAGAAGCTTAAAGAAGAAGGAGGATCACTACTGTGTACTAAGTGTCACAAGCCATATACTCTGGGTACAGTCAGGTATAAAGTTGTGGTAATGGCTCTAGACAAGAGTGGAGATGTTCCACCCTTGCTTTGGGATAGAGAAGTTTCAGAACTGGTGGGGATCCCTGCATCTATTTTGTATGAAAAATACAAAGAGGTAAACTTTTTTATGCTGAAAATAATTTAAACAACAGTCCAATGATATTAACAATGGACTAATTCTAACTAATTTTGCAGGTTGATGTTGAAGTACCCCCAGAGTTAGAGGCAATTGTTGGAATGAAAATGATGTTTAAAATTGGTTTTAAGAAAGCTCTAAAGAGGGGAATGTTGGAAATTGGTGAATAAATTGATACACAAAATATATATATGTCCCAAAAAAATGGAATTTAATTTATAGAAAATTAATTCCAACCAATTTTGGTACGAAACCAAAATTACATATACATACAATATGTATATAAACCAAATAGTGATTTATTTTATCAAAATAATCCCACCACAACTAGTACGAACCTAGTACACGGGACTTAATTTCCACGAAATTAATCCCACCACAACTAGTACGAAACTAGTACAAGGATTTAATCTATCCGAGATTAATCCCACCACTTGGTCCGAAACTAAGAACAAGAAAACAAGATGCGGGTTTCTAACCTGAGGTTTTAACCCAACGAGAAGAAAGAAGAAGCAGAGGAAGCCCGAGTCGTGTGTACACACACTCTCCTTAAAACTGATTCGCCGCCTCCCGAGGGTGCTAGGATCGTTGTGGCGTCAGTCTCCCAGGATAAAACGGACTACGACTTTGGCGTTCGAGCAGTCCAACCCAAAGCCCGGCGAACTAGAACACAAGTTGAGCACTCCGATGTTTTATGGAATTATGTTGGCAAACAATTTTCTCTTTGAAACCAAGAAGAGTAGAGAGAAAAGCAATAGTTTTGGTTTTGTTTCAAAAAATGGCGTAAAACATTCTGCCAACATAACAAGATATATGTAGAGAGAGGGGAATTAAGTAGCATTATCATGGTCATTAACCAACATAAATCCAAGATTTAATAATTGGATAATAACGTTTGAAACGGTCATAATTATTATCGTAATAATTCCAACGGTCACGAACTTAATACGCGATTAATTCGTACCGACCATAACGACCCGTTTTAAAATATTTGAGTGACCGAGAAGTCCGTACAAACCCGAAAGGTTAACAAATTGGAACTGGAAACCACACCAGAGTGGTCTACACGCACCGAAATGGTGCAACACGAATCAATGCATATAGCATTGACTCATGCCAACTCATGTTGCTGAGCACGAAAGGAGCTCATACACGAAAGGAGCTCTATTTCCAAAAGCACGAACTGTGCTTAAATCCCAAATCATTAGTTAATTAAGCTTTCAAGCTTAATTACCCCTCTTAAGCTTAATCTTTCAAGCTTATAACGAATCAAGCTTGATAACCAAATTACGAATTGCTAAATTAATTAGCAATTTAGCTTAAGAGTTCGGCTTCTCTAAAATAGGTTCACTTTGAGAATCAATTTCTCATTCACCTATTACCCATTTTGAGCGTACATTATATCTAATTCTTCGTCTCACTACGAAGAACCCGAATCCACTTTGACCCGACCCAAATCGGAAGTGGACCCACATATATTTGTACCACAAAATAATCACTCAAAATGCCATTTTTAGCTAAAAATTCCAACAGTCCCCCACATGAATGAAAATTGATTTTCGGGACGAGGAAAAATCGACACGAATGTGCTCAACGGTCGATCCCTGCATAGCATAGGTAGGTGTTACCCTTTGAATCTTGCCTTGTGAAAATATGTTTACTCTACTGGCTGTATGGTAGAACTTGATGTCTTTGAACCAACTGCCGTTTGTGTAGACGATGACATATCCCACACAGGAACCGTCCAACCTTTGTTCTGTTCTCATGGGTGTGCCCGTTTTGGTCATGGGTCACTTTCCTGGTTCTGTGAGAGTTTCTAAAGAATTGAGCCCATCAATTCTCCTTTGAAGCCACCCCACTTCTCTCTAACATAGGTGATTCTTTATCGAGTATCCCGCATACTCATACATGTCAACCGACATTCGAATCATTAAAGCATCAACATGCTAGCCTCGTGCGGGAGTCACTGTTCTAACGAGGAATGGTAGGGAGTCCAAGACCCCCACAGTGACACGCTTCGTTCCATAATTTAGTTGTCCCATTGAACCTAGGTGCCAGCTAAGTTGGGTGTCCACTATAGAACTTTTATTCCATGGGCTTCAAACCCATTCCTCGTGCCAACTTCTCAACAACATCTTTGCTCAACCCTTTGGTTAGCGGATCCGCTATATTATCCTTTGACTTCACATGGTCAACAGAGACAACACCCGTTGTGCGTAGTTGTTTAATGGTATTATGTCTTCGACGTATATGTCTAGACTTACCATTATACATATAACTTTGCACTCTCCCAATTGTTGCTTGATTATCACAATGCACACTAATTGGAGGTACAGGTCTATCCCAACAAGGAATATCCTCCACAAAATGGCGTCATCATTCAGCCTCTTCACAACATTTGTCTAAGGCTATCAGCTCAGATTCCATCGTGGATCTAGCTATCAAGGTTTGTTTCGAGGATTTCCAAGAAACGGCTGCACCGGCTAACGTAAACACGTAGCCACTCGTGGACTTAGAGTCCTTCATATCCGATATCCAGTTAGCGTCGCTATACCCTTCAAGTACAGCAGGATATCGTGTATAGTGCAGTCCCCAGTCACGAGTATACCTCAAGTATCTCATAACTCTCACTATTGCCTTCCAGTGCGCATCACTGGGGTTACTCGTATATCTACTGAGTTTTCTAACCGCAAAGGCAATATCAGGCCTGGTACAACTCATTAGATACATCAAACTTCCAATAATCCTAGCGTATTCTTCTTGAGAGATATACTTTCCGCGATTTTTGGACAGATGAACATTAGTATCTAATGGAGTCCTAGCCACTTGATAATCATCCTTGTTAAACTTCGAAAGGATTTTATCAACATAATGAGATTGGCTTAACACGATACCATCAGGTCTTCTCACGATTCTAATCCTAAGGATTAAATCTGCCAAACCCATATCCTTCATGTCAAATCTCGAATTTAACATGTCCTTGGTAGATTTGATCATTTGATCGTTACTACTCACGATGAGTATATCATCCACATATAAACAAAGAATGACATAACCGTCTATCGTTTTCTTAACGTAGACACACTTGTCACTTTCGTTTATATTGAACCCATTGGTTAACATCGCATGGTCAAACTTCTCGTGCCACTGCTTAGGCGCTTGTTTTAAACCATATAACGATTTAACCAATTTACAGACTTTCTTTTCTTGGCCCGGAATCGCAAAACCCTAAGGTTGTTCCATATAGATTTCTTCATCTAACTCGCCATTCAAGAAAGCTGTTTTCACATCCATTTGATGAACTTCCAAATTCCGCAGTGCGGCTATGGCAAGTATCATCCTTATGGAATTTATTCTCGTTACGGGAGAATACGTGTCGAAGTAATCAAGGCCCTCGTGTTGCCTGTAACCCTTAATTACAAGTCTAGCCTTATACTTCTCAATGGAACCATTAGGTTTCAACTTCCATCTAAAGACCTACTTGGATCCCAAGGGCTTACTACCCGGAGGAAGATCAACCAGTTCCCAAGTGTGATTCTGTAGGATAGAATCCACTTCACTCTTTATAGCCTCTTTCCACATTGGTCCTTCCGTAGAAGTCACAGCTTCTACATACGTTTGAGGCTCTTTTTCTAACAAACATGTCAGAAAATTAGGTTCATTTTCTAGTAAACAATTTAGAATATGCGTATCACATTCTAACATGTACGTCAGAAAATCTGGACTAAAGGATTTTTCAATCCTAGCTCGCTTGCTACGTCTAGCTTCGAGCTCGGGTTCTATTTCAGACCCACCACTGCCGTTATCCACAGCCTCGTCGAATGTTTGTTTCGACGTACTAGGTCCCTCACTGGACCTACACGGAAATACATCTTCAAAGAACGATGCATTCCTTGATTCAATTATCGTGTTCTTATGTACGTCCGGATTATGGGACTCGTGTACTAAGAACCGATACGCACTACTGTTATGTGCATAGCCAATAAAGATACACCGTCTTAGGTCCTATCTTTATTTTCTTAGGTGTTGGCACCAAAACTTTGGCAAGACACCCCCACACTTTCAGGTACTGGTAGGAAGGTTTCCTACCGTTCCACAGCTCATAAGGAGTCTTATCGAGCTTCTTGCGGGGAACCTTATTTAAAAGGTATTTACTTGTAAAAATCGCCTCACCCCACATACTTTGAGGTATGCCCAAACTTGTCAACATCGCATTCATCATCTCTTTCAATGTGCGATTTTTCCGTTCAGCAACACCATTCGATTGAGGTGCGTAAGGTACCATACGCTCGTGTATGATACCTACACATACACAGAAGTCACTAATAGGTGCTTCGTACTCACCACCTCGATCGCTTCTAACCTTCTTAATCCTCCGATTAAGTTGGTTTTCCACTTCATTCTTATAAAGAATGAATTTATCAACGGCTTCATCTTTGCTCTTAAGCAAAAACACATAGCAGTATCGTGTGCTATCATCGATAAACGTGATAAAATATTTATTACCACCGCGCGATTGTATTGATCTAAAATCACATACATCGCTATGAACCAACTCAAGTGGTTCTGTTTTCCTTTCAATCGATTTAAAAGGAATTTTCGTTTGTTTTGCCTCAACACAAATCTCACATTTGTGCTTATCAACTTGAAATGCAGGAATATGGTCCAAGTTAATTAATCTACGTATAGAATTAAAATTAACATGACCCAGTCTACCGTACCACAAACACGAAGACTCAAGTAAGTAGGTTGAATTAATAACACTTTTATTAATCGCGGTTATTGCATCAAGCTTAAAAAGCCCATCTAGCACATAACCCTTGCCTACGTACATTCCTGATTTCGACAAAATAACTTTATCTGACTCAAACACTAAGCGGAAGCCATTCTTGTTCAACAATGAACCAGAAACTAAGTTCTTTCGTAGCTCCGGTACGTACAAGACGTTGTTCAGAGTCAGCTCTTTCCCAGAGGTCATTCTGAGAATTACTTTGCCCATTCCTACCACAGTAGACTGAGCAGAGTTTCCCATCCATACTTTCCCACAATTAGTCGTCTCGAAGGTAGTAAACAACTTACGGTTGGAACACATATGTCGGGTCGCACCCGTATCAATGAACCATTCCGTTTGGTTCGAACCAACCAGGTTTACCTCGGTCACCATTGCCGA